CCCCTAGCTTTAAATTTCTAAAAGGACATCTAAGTAATTACAACAAAACTAAATTAGCTATAATGACTTGTATTTAATACTCCAATTGCACTTCAAATACTTTTACATTCCCAAAATAGCCCTACCCTTACGGTTGAAATCCAAAGAATATTTTTCCTCTAAACTCATTCTTATATAGTATAAGGATATTTGTTTCTAGATTGTGCAAATGGAAAATAAGGTTGGTAATTAATCAAGTTCGAATATAAAAAATTAAACTAAAAGAATTACAATATAAGAAAAGACATGATAAAAAACTCAAAACCAAATCAATGTGTTATGAAAACAATAGATAAATAAATTAAAGAGATTGAAGAAGTAGTCAAGCTTCTCAATTAATTAGAGAGAAGAAAACTAGGCCTAACAAAATCAATGAGAGAATATATAAGGTTGACTAGTGAGAATAATGTTAGTATTTGGGGAAAATTGCAGAAACCTCCCCTGAGATTTCTGACATTTGCACTGACCTCCCCTATCAATTTTGAAATAGCATTAACCTCCCCTAGAAAAAGTTGGAGTCAATTTAAAAGGTAAAAGTGTGTGAATTTACTAGAGTACCCCTAATTGTATTGACTTTACCAGATGAAAGGTTTGAGTACTTTCATCAAAACCAACGTTTAATTTGTTAAACAAATTAAACTAATCAAACTATTTCTGTATAGTTAAATTAATTAACTAATTAACTAATTAACTATTAACTAATTAACTAATTTCTATTTATCTAATTAACTAATTAACTAATTTTTGTTTATCTAATTAACTAATTAACTGATTATCTAATTAACTAATTAACTAAAGCTGTTGTTTGTCGGAAACTAACAAACTATTTGCATGTTAAACTAATAAACTAATTAATTGCTTAACTAATTAACTAACTAATTATCTAATTAACTAATTAACTAATTTCTATTTATGTAATTATCTAATTAACTAATTAACTAATCAAACTATTTCTGCATAGTTAAACTAATTAACTATTAACTAATTATCTAATTAACTATTAACTAATTAACTAATTAATTAATTAACTAATTAACTAATTTCTACATAGTTAAACTAATTAACTAATTATCTAATTAACTAATTAACTAGTTAACTAATTAACTAATTAATTAATTAACTAATTAACTAATTTATGTTTATCTGATTAACTAATTAACTAAAGCTGTTGTTTGTCCGAAACTAACAAACTATTTGCATGTTAAACTAATTAACTAATTAACTGCTTAACTAAATAACTAACTAATTATCTAATTAATTAACTAATTAACTAATTTCTGTTTATCTAATTAACTAATTAGTTAATGCGCTAATTGGTTAATTAGCTCCACAGGCCAACGAAATTGGTTAATAGCGCATTAAATATAAAACCTGCCAGTTTCCCATAAAGAGCTGGCATGTTATGGGCAATTTTTTTTTAAACATTCACATATTTAATTTATGTTAAATACAAAACATACTAGTTTTCCTTTGAGTGCTATTTAACCAATTTTCCCCATAAAGAGCTGGTATAAAACATACTACAAAACCTGCCAGTTTCCCATAAAGAGCTGGTATGTTACGCATTATTTAACCAATTTTTCATATTTAAACAAATTTATGAAAATTAAAATAACGTATTTGAAAGTTGCATTTTTATTTGGAAGAATGCATTCTTTCGATGCGTTTTCCACCCTTTGGGAAGAGACTCAAAAATCGCCACCCTTTAGAAAGTTAGTTTAAAAACTCTCTCTTTTTGAAAATTTACTCCTTATTAATACGGTCACTATATTTATTTTCTAGTATTAATTTTTGTTATGGTTTATGATTTTCTTATATTTTATCAAAAAACTTAATAATTATTGTAGTTACAATTATGGAGATGTTAATTTGTCATATGTGTAATTCTTTTGTTTTATAAGAATTGTTATATCAGGGATAAATTTGAAATTTAATTGCATTTAATTCCAAAACACTCATCAAACCAAGCTAGATATTGGAATGAAAAATATGTTGCATTTATACCCTCTAAACTTGCTTGATCCTTAATGCCTATGCCTCTCCCTTGTTAATACTAATTATCAAGCAAGATCAGGGCAAAATTGGAAGAAATTTATTATCTCATTTCTACAAATAATTTTTTAATGGGACATCAAGCCTCAGGGAAGGTTTCTGCAACGAATTGTTCCTGTTCGGGGGTGCTGAATGCCATTTCTAAACCTAGAAGGAAGTGCAAGTGTCAGAAACCCCAAAGGAGATTTCTGCATTTATCCCTAGTATTTGAATAAATATTGCTCTGGCAAGAAGATTTTAGCTCTGGGAGTATCGGTGGTATCGCCAACCAACGTCACCTAACAAAAGAAGAAGAAAAGGCTACTGCTTAGAAATTGCTGAGTTATTGCAGCAATAATTGGTTGAACACTTATACCTTCGTTGAATACAAAAAAGAAAAGAATTAACAATAGTCTAATCAGCCTTTAATGCTCAAAGATGAGAAAGGTGAACAAATTCATTTCACCAAAAGTTAAAGCATCAATAACTTGTACATAATGCAAAAAACATACATCTAGATATGTTTCTATGGATGGAATCCAACTTGTATTATATATTTTTGCATCAATTATTGTTTCCCAAGGCTTGATGCTCTATGGTTAATTTATTCCTCTTTTGTGACAATTTTTCATGAAAATTTGTTGGTTGTTGGAGAAGTTCAGAACTTGGTTAATTGAATGACAATGGAAAGACATAGTCGCTAATTGTGACATATCCAAAATCAATTGAATATCAATGGATTGGGTTAAGGAAAAGAGAAGTGTTATCCATTTGTAACTAACACCTCGATTGGAAATTGACATGAAAAGCCTAAATTCGTTACAGGCTTCTAGTTAGAAACAATTTTGATGTTTACATTGGCGGCTAACAGGCTTTTGAAAGCACTCCAAATCCCTCAAAAAAAAAGGTAAAAAAAAAAAGCACCTATGGTAATTCTAATACACAGAAAAGCTTCTCGTGATTTCAAAATATACAACATGACACGCCATACTTTGAACTAAATTGTAAAGGTGATGGAATCTGTTAAACTTAATTGATGAAATGACTAAAATGCTCGATATAATTAAGCAAAAGACAGCTCAAAAAATCATTTGTTTTATTCTCTAGATAGAGATAATTGAGTGTTAAGGGATAGAACATGTATATTTGTTTAAAATTAGGTATAAAATTTTTTTTTAGGTTCCAATAAATCATTTCCGTTAAATTTAATGAATTCCGTCACCTTTACAATTTAGATCAAAATACGGGATGTCGTGTTGTATATTTTGAAACTACGAGTGACTTTTTTGTATATTAGATTTATCACATGAGACTTTTTTGTATTTTACCAAAAAAAAAAAAACACTCCAAAGTCCATCAATCAAAGAATAACTCTTTTGATTTAAATCACAAATCAAGACAAAGGTGGACATGAAGAGAAACGAAAACAAAGACCAAGTTTTGGAACTTTACCTTTGTATGATACTAAGCATATTCTTAAACTTTTTCATGTCCAAGGATATTTGTGGAAGCCAAGCCAAGACCTTGGAAAAGACATGGAGGCCACAAAACCCTTTACATACGGGCCTACTACCAACTCCAACAGCATATTTACCACCCCCCCCCCCCCCAATTTTTGAACAAAATTTCATCAAAATTAATTTTGGACATACCATTCCCATGAGGATGCCATTACATGAAAGAAGCCGAATTAGTTTAGACGAAGTTGTCAATCATTCAACCTGCATTTGCTTCATGATACTTTGTGGAGGAACTTAGATATAATCACTAAATTCATATCTCTCTGTGTTGGGTACTGGAGTGAAGTGTACCCTTTACAAGAAGATTGTGGAGAACAACTTAGCAATTCACTTTTACCCCAAAAAAAAAAAAATTAGCAATTCATAGTGCTGATTGGACTACTTTCAAATTAGATTATCTAGATTAAAATAGATAATTGTGGGCTATTTTACAAAGATGAAGTTGTGGGCTACTTTCAAATTAGATTATCTACTTTCAAACTAAATACAAGGGGGAAATTGTGGGCTATTTTACAAAGATGAAGATGTACAACTTTCACAGGATGGTATAAGGGTTACTCTAAAACCTTTTATTTAGTCATTGATGTCCAATTAAGGATAGATGAGCCGCTTATATGTCCAAATTGGATTATAAATTATTTGAGATAATTTCGAAAAAAAATACTGTAGCATTTTTTTGATATGATGTATGTGAGATAAAAAAATGATTGAAAAATGTGTTGATGATGCAAGCAAATCAGTGTATGTAAATAAGGTGTAATAACATACAATCCAAACACATTCTACATATAAAGGAGTTTTAGTTCAAAAGTAGCAGTATTGACACTTAACGTGTTCTTCAATATGTACTAGTGAACATAATAACATTTTAGAGCATTTACTAATTGCATATATTTAGTTTTGTTAATGGAAACAAAAAGGCATAAGATATTTTCTATTTCAAAGTGTAGGAATCAAAAGTAAAACATCCCATAAGTTATAAAAAAGAAAGCCTTTTTTTCCCTATAATATATCTATTAAGAATGAATAGCAAGATAAGACATTGGTTGCTTAAAGTACAATAATTACTTTTTTTAGTAAAAAGAGTCCAATATGTAAATTTCACCTTCTTCCTTTCAAAATCAAAAAATTACATCCTCTCGCGTATTGCCAGTCCACAACATTTTCTTTTCCAATTCTAAAGGACTTGTTTAATTTTTGTACATATGCAAATATGCCCCAAAAAAAATTCTATATTACTCCATTTTCGAAGAATTCAATTAAAATCCAAAGCGCTGATATCCTTGTACACATTGCATCAATACTTGTACCTCTGAAAATAAAAAAGAAACAAAAAGAGAAGAAATTCTCATTTGTCCTTAATCCTTTTTCCACAATATAAAATGTATACTTTCCCGCCGCGGAGACGAAGTAGCCTTTCTTTGCTCTCTTTTTCTCACTCTTCCCCACACACTGACACAGTCACACGGTAGAAAGACAAGAAAACACGCACACGACTGTTGAGTGACCCCTTTCCCCCTTCTTCTTCAAAGTCAAGAAAACCCACCAAATTTTCGTTCTAATTTGGAAAACCCAGAAAATCCCTAATCCTACTTTTCATTTTCCTTCTTGTTTTAGGGATGAATCTCCGTTCTCGAGCTTCAAAAGGTACCGTTCCAAGAACCCTGCTGTTTATTGGTTGCTGACTTGCTGTTTGTCTTTCTTTATTTCCTTATCTACTACTCTTTGCTTGATCATTTGGTTCATTCAAATCGAAATGGGATGTCTTTTATTTAGCTTTCATATTTCTGGGTTTTTTGTGGAAATAGATTTATAGATGCTTATTGTTGTTTTTTGAATTCTTCTTCAAAAGACGTGTCCTTTTTTTTTCTGGGCTGAATTTTGATTATGATGTGGATGCAGGAAAAGATATTGTTCAATATATAGAGAGCTCTGATGATGATGAACAAGGCTGTACAGATTCTTCGGATTCTGACATTTATATAATAAGTGATTGTGAAGGTACAAATATGCACACACAGATAGTTTATATTACTTCAATAAAAATTGTATTTTTGCAAATATGAATGCCAGGATGAAAGATTTATTGATTTGTCTCTTTTGGATTGTTTAATTATATTTAATATTAATTCGACTAAATAGATAATGACGAAGGCCAAGCACAAGGACCTCTAGTTTTTGCCCTTTTGATACTTTGGCCAATTTTGTAGTGGAATGCACACGATTGTAATGAGAAACATGGAGTACATTTTTTTTTTTTTTTTTTGCCTATTTTCCTGTTTGAAAGTTTAATTATGTTAATAATCACTGCTGTAGTAATGCATGTAAAAGCTAATGCTTTGGTGTCATGAAACTGTGAGTTTTACTATGGAAAAATTTGGTAATTGGTAAGTAAATTGTCCGATAATAACTGAGATGGTGAGTTAGATTAACTCTTAAAATGTCGGAGGTACATTACATTGTGGGGATTTTGCACGCACATGTCTTTGTATCTCTGTGTGCGTGTGTATAGGGTTGTAAACTTTGGCGGTTTCTTAGTAGTATGAGAAAAGACTGTAGCTTGAGATAGAGCTTTTGTGGAGTTAAGTGTATGTGTACGAAAAATGTAAATAAGTTTTGCTGGGACGAGTCTGTTATCCTATTAAGAATACTATCTTAATTAGTGAAAGCCACATGGATTACCTTGTGGCTCTAGCTGTGCTGAGCTGTCTAAAGTTCATGAAAAGCTTCTTGTCTAAATCTCTGACCCAAGGAATAGGAATAAACCCCTTTTTGGGTGCTTATAATAGTTTTGAGGTTGTTATTGGATGAATGGCAGTTTGTTCCATCATCAATTGCAGTTTCAATTTGCTTCTTCACTATACGAGTGTGAACTGCTTTTTTCTTTTTCTTGGTTCGCTTTATCACAAGTTGGACATTTTCAAGTTGGAAAAGATTTTATGATTTGGTTAGGAAATTTCAGCATTAATTAGTGTTGAATGGTATATTCTTGGCACGGTTACCATAATTTGCTTTCATGAATCAGATTTAAAGATATATAGTCGGTCTTATACGTTGGTGTCCTCTGCTTTTGGTGGGGTATGAGTCATTTGGGAAACATTAATTAAGAAAATCTGGACTACATTAGCTTGCCTGCTTGTGCTGACTTGTTCAATTATTTGCAAGTCGTATTATTGCCGTGTTTATCCATCAAAGATGGTTTTTATATTAGTAATGGCAGCTTGAATTTTCTGTATTGTCTATGGACTAGCATTTTCTTGGTATGATCAGCATGAGTTCAATACATGGTCACATTTGAAAGTATCTTCATGCTTTTGATTTAAATCACATAGAAGGTACAGGAAGACAATCCGGGAAATTACTTCTTATTAGTCAGACTAGTTGTTAATTTCTAGCACTTTTGTGTAACTGATTTGGGTATGCAGATGAAGTATGTATGCACATGTTGGATGAGCATGAGGGAAAGGATATTCCAGACATAAATCTTGAACCAACTTTTGAGATTTCTGACGATGATATCCAGGATAAGGTGTCAAAGAGGAGGAAAGTGGGGCCTGTGAAAAGGAGGGGAAGGCGGAGGAACAAAAACTTGGATGTGGTCCTTGTAAGTGTTGACAGAGATAGAGAGTGCAATCAGATGGATACTGTTTTTGAGGATGTAGCTGATCAATCTGAGGAGAAAAGTTTGAAAAGGAAGAGTAAAGGGCATAAGAGGCCAATATTAGTGTGGGAAGTATTGCAACATGAAATTGAGAGATGGATTAAGGAGAATGAAGCTAATGATGTTGACTTGAGTAACCAGAATGAAATTTTGGCAGAAACTGTTGAGCCACCTGCCAATTTGATTATACCACTGCTCAGGTACCAGAAGGAGTGGTTAGCTTGGGCACTAAAGCAAGAGGAGTCCACCACAAGAGGAGGCATTCTTGCCGATGAAATGGGGATGGGAAAGACAGCCCAAGCAATTGCACTAGTTGTGGCTAAACAGGAGATCCAAAAGGCAATCAGTGAACCCAGTTTAGTAGCATCTGCTCCCAGTTCCTCCAGCACATTTCCAGCAGTCAAAGGCACTCTCGTAATATGTCCATTGGTGGCAGTGGTTCAATGGGTAAGTGAAATTGACCGTTTCACCACAAAAGGTAGCAATAAGGTTCTTGTTTATCATGGATCAAACAGGGGAAGGAATATTGACCAGTTTTCCGAATATGATTTTGTTATTACCACCTATTCCATAGTAGAGGCTGAGTACCGGAGAAATGTGATGCCACCTAAACATAAATGCCAGTGGTGTGGAAAGTTACTTTATGAGCACAAGATGTCTGTTCACCTGAAGTATTTTTGTGGGCCTGATGCAATCAAAACGGCTAAGCAGTCAAAGCAACAGAGAAAGAAGTCAAATTCAAAAACAACAACCTCGAAGCAGAACTTAGAGTTTGATGAAGATGATGCCTTTGATTCGAATGGTGATATGCAAAAGCGAGGTCGTAAGAAGGGTGCAAAGACTTCGAATGGGATCGGAGGGTCAGGAAATGCTTTCGCTTATGGTATTCCAGCGGATATTGGAGAGTCATCTTCTACAAAGAAATCTATCTTGCATTCTGTGAAATGGGAGCGCATCATTCTGGATGAGGTAACCGTTTTGAGTCTGATGTTATGTACATATCAATACAGTATCAGAGGCGTCAAAACACAATGTTTTTCTTTTTTTATTTTTTAATTCATTCTCTTTTCAAATATTCAAACTTTTTTGTCATTTTTCATAGGATCCTATTCATGTTACGGAACAAACTGGTAATGTTGTTAACCATGTGCTCTGTGCTAATAAAAAAAACTTCACATCTATGATTTTTAATTATTGGTTTGTGTGTATGTTGACTTCTTATTTTGAGAATAATTATGACCTCATGTTTTGACGATTGCTGTATTTGTTGCTGGGACTTTCAGATTGTTTTGGTTTTGTCACTTATGGCAATTTGCAGTCTGGGGTGAACCCAATAATAAGTTCTTTAGTGAAATTGCATTATTTTTATTAGCATTTTGAAATCTCTTCGCAGAGATGTGTTTCAAGTGCAACTGATTAATATTAGAAAGATTTACTTCTCAGTGGTTCATTATATTTTGAAATAGGCTCATTACATAAAAGATCGACGCTCTAGTACTACAAGAGCGGTGTTTGGTTTACAATCTTTGTACAAATGGGCACTCAGTGGTACTCCACTCCAGAATCGTGTTGGTGAACTCTACTCCCTTGTAAGTGTATTTGCAAATTGTAAGATTTTTTTTCCACAAAAAGCAATTGGTTTGTTTTAGATCTATTATTCATTGACTTTGTTTTCCTTAATACAAGGTACGCTTCTTGGAGATAGTTCCTTACTCTTATTACTACTGCAAGGACTGTGATTGCCGATCACTTGACTACAGGTATTATCTAACCTTGTTTAGACCCTCTACATTTACTGTCAAATAAAATAGTGAAAAGACACATTTTGCATGCATACAACTAGAGACAACTTCACTTGTCAAACAAAATCTGTCCTCCACTTTTTCATTACAGCTAAATTGCTGTACAATATGGTTGAAACTCTTACACATGTTTAAGAGCGAAGGCAAGATTAGGTGTTGACTGATTAATGATTATCTGGAGTGAGTTGTAAAATAGTATAATCAATACAAATGCACTTGATTTTGTTCCAATATGCGCCCAAAAAAAAAAAAACAATTTATAAAAGATAAAGTTGTTTATGATAGGCAGAGGATTTGGTGTTCATGCGGCCTTGGCACTTTAGTAGCTTTGAAATTGCAAGCTTTCATGTCTTCTTTGTCATTGTATGTGGGGTTGTTCACTGGATTTTAATAGGATTATAATTGACTTATGCACCTACTGATTTATAATTTTTAACAGAATATGCTTGTTATTATTTGTAGAAAGCAGATTATAACTGTACTGTGATTGATGTTGCATCATGGTGGCATTGTAATTTTTGCTGGCTGTTAGAACATTTTAATTATTTGTGTTTTATAACTGATATTCTTCAAAGAATAATTTTTTGACTTGCAGCACCTCAACTGATTGTCCACACTGCCCCCATAAATCTGTCAGGCACTTTTGCTGGTGGAACAGAGTATGCAATTCAGTTCATCTTTTTCATTTTTGTATTTTTCTTTTTGCTTTTTTACTGGGGCTTGAGTGGTATCTTTTACTGAAGTTATCTGGTAATGAAATGTTGTCCTCGTAGCATGTTGCTTCTCCAATAAAATATGCTGGAAATCTTGGGGAAGGGAGAAAAGCAATGCTGTTGCTGAAGCATAGGATTTTAAAAAGCATAGTGTTAAGACGTACTAAAAAAGGCAGGGCTGCTGATCTGGCACTTCCCCCTAGGATTGTAAGTTTAATGTGCCTCTGATGACTATATGCAATCTCTAAATGTGTTTAGATTTCTGTTGAAGATTTTACTCTATGTCCTTTCTTTGTTGTAACACATTTTCCTTCTCTTATCTGTGACACATTTCAGGTTACCCTGAGGCGGGATGAACTTGATATCAAAGAAGAAGATTATTATACATCACTATATAATGAAAGTCAGGCACAATTTAATACGTATGTGTTTTAATGCGTCTCTCTTTTTTGGTTTAGGTTTGACAATATTATTATTCTGAGTGTATACTGGGAGCAGTTGCTTGTTATATGGCTATATTGTTGATTTGACACAATTGTTTTCTTATATTTGTTGGTTGATTTTCAAAGATTATCCTCTGAACAGAGCATTTGATTATTATTGTTACTTTTGGTTGGGTTACCTTTCTTTCATGTGCAGATATATTGAAGCAAATACTTTGATGAATAACTATGCCCACATATTTGATCTTCTCACACGCCTGCGGCAGGTTAATTAAAACTTTAGTAATTTTGACTTTCTATGACTTTGATACCCATTATTCCCACTTTCTGGACTTTCTTTTCTTTTCTTTTGCTTGCCTTACATGGTTGTTCCATGGTTTATTGGTTATTTTTGTGTCTAAATGCATATACCAGTGCACTGGTTGTATCATTTGAAATGCCTTCTTCTGGCTATTACTCTCTCTCTCCTCTCTCTCTCTCGTTCAGATGATTGAGATATTGTAATTTATATCTGATTGTTAGCCGTGATAATTTGGTTTTACCTGTTGCTCAGCAGCTGAATGTTTTTTTTCCCTTCTTTTGTTCAGCAAGCAGCTGGATGCTATTAATCTTTGACTTATGAGTTCATTTTATAAGAATCTATGTGTTTCTTAAGATTACATGCGATCCATTTGACAACGCCAAATTATGATAGTATTTCAATTTGCTGCTCTTTGCCTAATCTAAGTCCATCATGTGAACCTAGAGTTTATTTTTACCAAGGCTTTGTTTCCAATTTGCTTCATTTCTTCTAGTGATGGCTTTGGATAGTTCTGCTAATGCGTAATGCCATTGGCTTTGCTGAATATTTATGTATACATTATTTGGACTTAAGTAGGAATTGACAAGTTGGTAGATGCATCTCATGAATTTTCTAAGGTACTACCAAGTATATCCCTGGTAATGTATATCCACTTATATTGTGCTGCCTTAGATTAGGACGGTTGAGATATAGATTCAAGATTTTTCAGTTTTTCAGGAAAAAATTTGTTCCACTGTCTGATGAATTTCGGTTTGTGATTGTAGGCTGTTGATCATCCTTACCTTGTGGTGTACTCTAGCACAGCTGCTGGAAGAGGTGGAAGCATAAGGAATGCTCCCAGTGGTGAAGTATGTGGCTTATGTCATGAGAATGCTGAAGATGCTGTGGTGGGTATATTATTTGCTTATATCCCTTGCTACTCACTGATCTTTTTCATCCGGTCCAGATTTGCTTTTTCTTGACAACCATGCAAGGGAGTTGGAACTCTTGAAGTTCAGCTCAAGACAGAAGATTTAGGTTTTGCAATAAAAGAAAAAGGAGATATTTGAACTTGCAAGTAGAACTTAGAGAAAAGCCCTCTCTTGGCGGTTAATTAGTAGATATTCCTTGCCACTTTTGCAACTGGAAAAGGGACTTAGTGTTTGCAGAGCTGAAAAAGCCCCATATGTAAGCTCTCTGTAATTGATGTAAAAGGTGGGATGCAGGTGGAATGCTAATAAGTGAGATTGTCATGGATTGTCTAGCCTACCAAGAGTGCTGATTGTTGAATAGAGAATGTGAAGTTTTAAGCACTTGTGAAGCCTAATTTTGCTTCAAATCACAAATAATTGATGGAGTTTTTGTTCTGAGCTAGCTTTATTCTTTGATGATCGTGAATTATGGCCTACATATTCAGTTGATTAGTTTTTAGAGGGTTAAGATGGTCAGCAGATTAATCAGTTAAGTTGTTGGTTTTCATTGTTTCAGGTGACTTCATGCACTCATGTATTTTGCAAGTCTTGTTTAATTGATTTCTCCGCTAGCATGGGACAGATATCATGCCCATCTTGTGCAAAACTGCTTACTGTGGACTTCACAGGAAACAAGGAAAATGAGGATCAGATGCCTAAAACAACTATTAAAGGATTTAAGCCATCAAGTATTATTAATAGAATCCGGCTGGATGATTTCCAGACAAGCACAAAAATAGATGCTTTGGTAAACCTCCTATTATGATTTTGTTGTTTTCATTTAATATCTGTTCATGTTCTCATTCTTTTTACGCTCATCGGCAGAGTTCCGTTGGTTTTGCTTGTAACTGGTTATGCTCAGTTGTGCGTTAAAATTTAAATTAGGCTGAGGTTTATGCCTTTCAATTTCTATAGCCTTGAAAGGTTAGAGAATCATGCTCTAAATTTTTGTTTTTCCACAATAAATGCACAGCAACAGCATTTGCTCTCAGTGGCTTGCATGTCTTGGAAATATGTGAAAAGGGATCAAAGTAGAAATAAAAAATGTTAGACAAGCAGGCTTTTTCTGTATTTTACAACAAACTACTTGTGGAACTAATTTTCTTTATTCTCATTTTTTGATGTCAGAGGGAAGAAATCAGATTTATGGTTGAAAGGGATGGGTCTGCAAAGGGAATTGTTTTTAGCCAATTCACGTCATTTTTAGATCTGATACATTACTCCCTCCAGAAGGTGAAGTGTCTTGTGCTTGTTTGTTGATTTATATTCTGTCAAGCAATGAAACTCAAGAAATGGCAGGTACCCTTTTGCAGTCTGGGGTTAGTTGTGTTCAATTAGATGGATCAATGTCTATGACTGCTAGAGATGCTGCTATAAAACGATTTACTGAAGATCCTGATTGCAGAATATTTTTAATGAGTCTCAAAGCAGGAGGTGTTGCACTCAACCTCACTGTGGCATCTCATGTAAGTCACCGTTTCTTGTTCCTGATGAGACTGCTGTATCACTCTCCTGGACTAAGTCATTAAAAGTTTTCCAGTGCTTGATTACTGTTAGGATACTGACCTTTAAATACATGCAAACCGGGTCCTGTATCTTTCCTTCCTTCCTTGGTTCTAAATAATACCAATAGTATTGAATTAGCTGCTGGTATGATGAATTGCTAATTCATATCGGCCAGCTTGTGGAATTTTACTGCTTATGCACAATCTTGTGAGAAATCGTGGTGGCAGGATAAACATGAGAGGCAAGTTAGGAAGAAATAAGGGAGAAATATCTGGGTGAGTATGATTTCTCAAGTGTAGAACGAACTCAGGTGTTAGGAAGGGAGAAGAAGGGTTTCCTTTTCTTCTTAATTACTTTGGAATTTAATTTGTTTGAAAAGGAATAGAGGAAGAAACTAGTGCTGCATTCCTGGCCTCAGAACACTAATTTTTGGGTCAGTGGATATGAGCAATAACTTGCTGTTTATGCGTTCATAGCTAGGTTACCTGTAGATAGGGCTTTTTTTAACACAAACATTTGTTGAGAAGAATATGGAAATGAATCACTCCCAAACAAGCACTACTTTACGCGGTGAGGGAGTAAATATTCATCTTCGTGCTTACTGCTTAGTGGCACATGAGGCTTAACTTGAGAAGCTCAGCATTTTTTGGTTAGATCTATATGTACCCATTTCAGCTTCCTTTGTGTCTATGGATGCATTACTGTTTTATTTACCTGGAAGCGGGAATCTGACGTAGTAGAGGTGTGACCGACGCATAATGCATGAGAGAGAGAGAGAGAGAGAGAGAGAGAGAGAGAGAGAGAGAGAGACTTACACTCAAACATGCACCTCAATGTGCAAGATACTCTGGATTGATTGAGCTTTATCTTGCAGCCTTCGAGCATCTGTTGTTTCATACTACGAAAGTGGGTATATTTATTCTGTCGGCGGATCAACTCCAGATTTCTAATATAGTAATGAGATACTATGCTGTGCTCACTTACATTCTTTTGAGACTGTCATTCAACTTCATCGATGGCTTATCTTTCCCACTTTTTTTAGGTTTTTTTGATGGATCCGTGGTGGAATCCTGCAGTTGAAAGGCAAGCCCAGGATAGAATTCACCGAATTGGACAGTTTAAACCAATCAGGCCTGTTTGCTTTTCCAATACATAATACTTTTATAGTCTGCCTTAAGGTATATATGGTGTTTCAACCTATTTACAGTTTAACTTGTACCCTTGCAGAATTGTGAGGTTTGTTATCAAGGATACAGTTGAGGAGAGAATCTTAAAGTTGCAAGAGAAGAAGGAACTGGTCTTTGAAGGGTAAGTTAATCTTCAATCAACCTTTGGTAAACACCTTTTTTCTTTTTTTCTTGTAATAACTGCCAAAATTTTGTAGGTGACTAAGTCTATTTGTACATACCTTGTTGATCTTTTGCAGGACTGTGGGTGGCTCTTCAGAGGCTTTAGCAAAACTGACGGAGGCAGATCTCAGATTCCTGTTTCTTACTTGAGCAAAGACCCCAATTTGCAATCCATGTAATGCTTTTTGGTGGGTTTCTCCCAACTGTCTTATTTTGTAAGCATCTTAATAGACTTTGGAACTACCAAAACTCGACCGCATAGCTGCTGTTAAGTTTGTCCTTCTGGGCAACTGCTTTTAATCTATCCCTAGAACCTGGTCATACCATGAAACCTGTCCTTTTCTTGTTTGTGATATTGGAAATTTGAACTTGAAATAGCCTGTTTGCTATTCAGCTATCGAATGTGAATGATTGTGTTTGGACAACCCTTCTGTGGCCAACCCCCACAATACTTGAGTTTCCATCACCTTCAATGTTTCAGCAAAGGTTGAAGAAACACTCAACATGACAGAGGCTGATTTTGTTCAAGAAAATCCCAGATAGGTCGCTTTGCCTAAACACATTATCAGAAGCCATTGAAAGAAACATGTAGACTACAAGAACTATAGTTTTCGGGTTCAACTGCTGAACAAGCAAACCGACTTGAAAATCACAACGCAAGACTTTGTTTTACAAGAATCAACCACAAGAACATGGAAAATAGTGATGGAATGAACTTATTGCGGAATCCGGGGGCTGGTTTAGGTGGGGATGTTTTAGCCATTTAACCGGAATTGTCTATTGCGGCTCTATGTCAGCACACGTTAATAAAACAAAAGGATTTGTTTCAGAAAATTAATTTTATTTGTCCGGAAAAGAGTGAATACTATTTATCTTTAACGAGCGTGTGTTTAGTGCCTGTTAATCACTTGTCATAAAACGAGTCAATTCAATCAAATCTTCAATTAAAAATAAAGTCAAGAGATTGTAAAGGAAAAATAAAATGTTATTTTCCATGTTATATATGGTTTTTAACTATTTATTCTATTCTAAAACAACTAAAATTTTTCTTTGTTTTCATTTCTTATATCTAAAATTTGGGTGAAAATTTTTTATTGATAAATGATGTCTATACTCCAAAATAATCTTCCGACCTTCACTGACAAAAGGGTAGAGGATGTCAGAAATTATTTTTGAAGTGCAAATATCACTTCGTAACAGTCTACCCTATTTGTATGCGTAGCTGGCTTCCGAAGTCTAATTTTTTTGCATTTTTATGTGTAAAGCATTTTAGCTATTGCTCGTTAAGGGAGGACGGATGGGTCTGGATGGCGTGGGAAAATGAGTGTAAGTGGAAAGCGTTGAGTTCGAAATTTTTCACTAAAATTTTAAAAGAGTTATTGCTCATTAAAATAGTAAAATTTCGTTTGCCAAATCCAATAAAGAAATGCCACAATGGTTCTTTAGCACTACTTACAGACACCGACAGCACGCGCAACCCACACTGAAACAACCGGTCAACCTTCACACATTCAAATTCCAGCAACCCATGTAGACTCCCCAAATTTCCATACAAAACCCAGAAATCCCTTTCCATCCCCCTTTCTATTCAGCCAAGAATTGAGAAAATTCAGCCAAAAAAAAAAAGAAAAAAAATGATACAACTGTTTTTCACTGTGATATTCTGTGAAATGGCAGTGATTTTGCTGCTATTGTTCAAAACCCCCTTGAGGAAGCTTGAAATCATGGCTCTTGATCGAGTGAAGCGTGGAAGTGGACCTCTTGTTGTCAAATCTGTGGGTGCTACAGTTTTGGTGATGATGACTTATTCAGTATACACGATTCGAGAACTCAATTCTCGACCCGTTGAGTCCTTCAACCCAACTGATCAAGTGCTCTTGGCTTATGAAGTTTTAGATACTTCACTTATGGGTAAAAATTAGTACCCTTTTTCAATATCAGATACTAGTTACCTAGTACTTTATTTTTTTTTAGCTTTTTGTGTGCGTAAATTTGTGGTTCCCCCAACCCCTCCTCCTAACAATGGGTTTTTGCTCAGATTGTTTGATTATTAAGTTATTTGGTGGGAAAGGGAAAAATGTTTTGTCCTTGAAGGGATGGAGAAATTACTCGATTAATCCTATGTATGACTGTTCTGCAGTTGGTGTTTGTATATGTTGTTATTATGTGAAAATGGTTTGATGTCAACGAATTTTGAGGTGCAGGGAAAAACTAGTGGAATTGGGCTGTAAAGTTTATTTTTCTGTGTACAGTTTTGGCTTTACTCGATTAATCCTATGTATGACTGTTCTGCAGTTGGTGTTTGTATATGTTGTTATTATGTGAAAATGGTTTGATGTCAACGAATTTTGAGGTGCAGGGAAAAACTAGTGGAATTAGGCTGTAAAGTTTATTTCTGTGTACAGTTTTGGCTATGTAAAACTGTGTGACCTTTTTTTTAGGGTTTTCATTGTTCTTATTTATTTCCGGCTTAGGCAGAAGTGATCGAGATAACTGTTTTACAGGTATTAAAGTTGTGATATTCAGGTTGTTGGTCAAATGCTGGTACATAGAAAGCTTGAGGTTGAAGTTTTAAGGCAGTAGAATTAGTTCTCTTTTACAATTCTAGGTGAAGGAAAAGTTAAAATGATGATGAAAATGAAAAACAATTTTTCATAAAGCTTCGCCTCTTAAGTTGAATTATTAGCTGTTGTAGGAAGACGTTTAAATTGAACGAACTGATGGAAAATGAATTCTGAAAAATTGTATCAATGGAATAGAACTATTTAAGACTCTTGAGATGCAGTCCCTGAGAAGAATGTTTGTGGTGTCTTAATATAATGTTTTAGATGAGAGATAAAAATGCACTATAGTTAAATAAGATAAAGAAACATGTTGCTATTGTGCTACTGTGTCTTACGTCGGAGATACGGTATATGGTGAAGGAACTGTTGTCATGCTGGTTGAAGCATTGAATGATAAGATGTATTAGAAATTCAACCTCGTAGATTTCAATGGATCGGATTGTGAGCAAGTATTAAGCAAATATAGGATGGCTGACTGCGAAGCTTGATTGTTGCAAGTAAATTCTAGAATGCTTTCCTGGTTTTTCCTCTCCTTCTTAACCATCAAGTAGTGGGAAGTGGGCTACTTTTATGAGGACGGCCTGCAACACAGGTTCCCTTTTTGAATGGTGACCTGCACTTTAAGTTTTAAAGACTGACAAAAAAAAAAAAAACAATGCGATGATTACAGATTTGGGTCTCTTCAGAAGGGAGGATTACTTGAATACAAGTCTCAAGATTTCATGGATTTGATGGTCCTTCACTTTAACTTCCTCTCTTTTGTTTTTGTGTGCCATCTGTTGGTCAAAATCACCTGTGTTCATTCTTCACCTTCCTTAGTATTTTCTAAAGGAAAGAAGGTCTTTTTGTCATCCCTCGAGTTATACTGGATCGTAAAATGGATAAGAGGTTATAACTTACAACACACAGTTGATGCTTGACCTGGAATTGTTTGAAGATGTTTAAACCTGAAATTGTGAACAGAGATCAGCCTTTGTGCATCAGATCTCTTCTACACTGGTTATCTGTCAAACTGGCTGCTGAATTGCATATAATTGCGGGGCAGAAAATTTGGAACTTCATGGGGTCAAACTAAAAAGCTAGAAATTTGTGAAAAAGAGAATAAGAATCCCTAAGCTTTTGTGATAACAATGAATGTATAATGACAAATATTGATTTTTGTAAATGTTGATTGATGAATATATTAGTCTTTCTAATCAAACTACTCTACTAAGCAAATGTTGGATTGCTTGTATGCATAGAAATTTGTGAAAAAGAGAGTAAGAATCCCTAAGCTTTTGTGATAACAATGAATGTATAATGACAAATATTGATTTTTGTAAATGTTGATTGATGAATATATTAGTCTTTCTAATCAAACTACTCTACTAAGCAAATGTTGGATTGCTTGTATGCATAGAAATTTGTGAAAAAGAGAGTAAGAATCCCTAAGCTTTTGTGATAACAATGAATGTATAATGACAAATATTGATTTTTGTAAATGTTGATTGATGAATATATTAGTCTTTCTAATCAAACTACTCTACTAAGCAAATGTTGGATTGCTTGTATGCATAGAAATTTGTGAAAAAGAGAGTAAGAATCCCTAAGCTTTTGTGATAACAATGAATGTATAATGACAAATATTGATTTTTGTAAATGTTGATTGATGAATATATTAGTCTTTCTAATCAAACTACTCTACTAAGCAAATGTGGGATTGCTTGTATGCATGTATTTATCATGATGCAGCAATAGTAGTGCATAATTCGATTCATCGGAAGTTTGATGAAGGCTGTAAAACATATAGGGTGAGAATGTTTTCTTTAGTTAAGCACGATAAGTACATCCATTTGGTCCTGTTGTTCAACTGTGACAAGCTATTAACGGTTTGAAGGATCCCCAAATTGGTAATAGTATATTTTCTCTTCATTTAATCTTGTCCTAGATCTAAGAAATACAAAGTTTTGCCCCCAATCAGATGTTTCTTACAACTCCACTCTCCTATTTAATTTTATTAATAGCTATTCATGCTATGTAGGATTCTCGCTGTTTCTTGCGCTTATGATAGACAGGCTACACCATTACATTCGCGAGCTTCGTATTCTCAGAAAGACCATGGAGGCTGCTAAAAAACAAAGCAGAGAAGTTGATGAGGGCAAAAAGGCAAATGGAGCAGAGGTCAATGCCTTAAAGGAGGAGGTAACTGCTATGAAGACAATGATTAATATTCTGGAATCTGAGTGCAAGGCCAAAGAGAAAGAGTTGAAAGCGGCAGAAAGCAATTCTGAGTCTCTTAAAAAGCAATCTGAAGGTTTACTTCTTGAATATGACCGCTTGCTGGAGGACAATCAAAGTCTCAGGAGCCAATTGCATTCACTTGATCAGAGCTTGGCCAATTCTGATGGCAAGAAGAACATGTAGTAGTTCCAAACATATGGTCATGGGAAACCAGCTTCTATGGCTGTTCAGAAGCTGGTTCTAAGTATGTAACCAGGAACATTTTTTGAGGTATTGTTCTGTTGCAGAGACTTTTGTACGAGATTTATGTGGAGGAATCCTAATGAGCTTTACTTAAATGGTGGCGCCAGTATGATCATAATCACAGTTATTTTTATAATTGTTGCGATTATTATTGCATCTAATAGGGTTATGTGATTAAGCAGTTGCCTGGATCAGTTATCTTTGTATGTCCTATTTCTGATGCACTCGGTTTCTTCAAGGCAGTAGGGTATCCCCCTTTTCTCCAAGAAAATCTAATGATAGATAATAATGTCGTATAAGCCTTTTACATCTTTACTGCTCTAATCGAAGGCGTCAACCTGGAAATTTCTGTATTGATTTGCCAAACATGGTTGGAGAACTCAATTGTATGTGCCACC